GAGGGGACAGGGAGTTGCAGGTCATGGCCCTGGTCCCATAGCCCTGACAGCAGGGGCCCCCCTCTGGCATGGCATGGGGGGGTGGGGACAGGGAGCTGTGGGTCAGGAGTGACCGGCACCTGTGCAGGTGGGGGGGCTGCAGGTTGGGAGTGAGAGGCCATGCTGAGGAAATGAGGTCATGTTGAAGAAAAAATTGGGAAGCACTGGCTTAGCCCCTGAAACAAGTGCCTCAGCCCTGCCCAAGCCCCCAGCTGTTAGCACATTTTCTCCTAGTTTCTGGTGATGAAATGCCTTTTTGGGGCTTGGGCAGCACACTGCTTTTAAAGCAGGTGTGAAAAATGCAGGACTATATATTTTATTAGGATTATCTAGATCTCCATTTGACTCGTGTGCTGCTTGTTACAGGATTGGGAGCGGTTAATTTAAATAGTAGTTTCTTGCCCATAAGAAGGAACAAGAGCTTCATTTACTAGGCAGGACTGGAAAGACAATGTAGGTGTCCCTGGCTTTTAAAGTCATACCTTTGACCCAGCTGAGCTCAAACCTCTCTGGGAACCATAAAAGAGGAATGAGGGAAAAACAGGACAAAAAGCCCTAAAGAGATAGCAGAACAGGCCAAGAGAGAATGAGGCAGGGTGCAGTTGGGGGAAAGACTGGCTTCCAACCTTAGCAACTGGGGTCTCAGGATGAGCTAGGTCTACTGAAGTCAAGAGGGTGCTGAATTATAAGGGATTGGTTTAAAAGTGGAAGTGTCACAGGAATTCTGCCACTGATGGATTACTTAGGGGTGCACTTGGCAAGAGCAGAGATAGGTCAAAATTCTTCTTGCCCTGAACTGGCAACTGTTTCTGACACCTGCTCCTGTGTGTCCAGGAGGAATTTCCAAACACCAGCCCCTGAGGGCAACAAACCTGGGCTCATTTAGGATGCTGTTACTGGATGCCACTCTGAGGTACCATCCTATGCATCAGCCTGCTATCTATACATGTCCCATGTCTGTGAGCAGTAGACAAGGAAAAGCAACCCTTTTCCCCTTCCTGCCTCTATGCTCCACATTCTCCTGGCTGCAAAAAGAAAAGCTCTTCACTGCTCTATTCTGCCCTAAGCCTCTATCTGAATCCTTCTCCTCCCCCATATAAATAGTACCCAGGCCTAGCAAGCTTGCCCAGGTGAGGACACAATGAAAATGACGCAGTCGGTCAATGTCCTTGTCTCCCATGTCTCCATCTGCATTTGCTCGCTTTCACCCATGGAGAAAACTAAATATTTAGTACCTGGAGGCCCTTCCCATGGGACTAGGAAGTCTAATCATGAGCTGAATCTGCCCTACCCTTCTCACTAGGGACCGCCACTGTCCAGGCAGCTGCATGTGCAAACCTTCCTTCCCAACCAGTGACGCAGGAAGTGGGGTTGGCTCTGACAGCGGCCCGTGCCTCCAGGGGAGGCCGCCCCACGGCCGGGTGCCCCGTGTGGCGGGGCGACAGAGGGCACGAAGCCCGGCTTGCTCCGGCCTGGCCCCGCGGCTAGATGCGGAGAGCGGCGGCGGGTACAGCATTTCCCAGAGGGGGCCGCACCCGCGCTCGGGCCCGAAAGCAGGAGCCGACCCCCCGCCCCGCCCCGCCCGGGCTCTCGCAGCCGAGGGACCCCTGGCCCAGCGCCGCGGCTGCACTTACTGCATGTGGTCCAGCAGGGAGTAGGCCTCGATGAGGGCGTGCACCATGCTGGCCTGCGGAGAGACGGCCCGTCAGATGGCCCGCGTGCGCCCGGCCCCCGCGCCC